CATTGGGTCTCCATCATGCGCTTCCCTCATTCACGATGATATGATCCCTCCCCCTCCCCCTCCCGCCTTTGGTGCTTGAAACCTGGTCCCCTCAGCCCTTCATGATCACACATGTTGCTGTGCTGCTTCCATGTGGGCTTTGTTGCTTCTGGGCTAGATGGCCGCTTGTTTGCTTTCAAGCCTTTAAGATCCCAGACGCTGTATCTCTCAATAGCCGGGCACCATCAGCCTTCTTCACCACACTTACTTATGCAGTTTTACTTTTTCTTTTTTTCCCCTACTTTTTCTAATAGCATTCCTCTCCTTAAATTACCACTTTGGTGTAAGAAAATGAAGGAAGGAAAGAAGGAAGAAAAAACCAGCATATACATCATCTATACATCTTTTTTTTCCCCTAACCTTCCATGTTTCCATGTTTTTAGTGATGAATTATGATTTATCTGTTTTGTGAAAATATATTTTCAACCAGTGTCCTGAGCTTAGGCAAAAGTATGCTCACGTCTAGGGTTCTGTCAGCAAAGAAGAGGTTTAAATTCTCAGAAAGCCAGTGTTCGCAGAATGGTGAGCTTTGGGAAGTATGGTAGGAGATGAAGTTGGATAGGTTTGCATTATTCATGGATTTCCTAATTTGGAATTTGAATTTTAAGTGCCATGGGATTCCATTGAAACATTGAGGTGACCTGGCATGGTAGAGGATAGTAGTTAGTTGTCAGCCAAGTTCTTTAATAATGAAAATAATAAAATACCTTATTTTGAATTCATTACTTGAATAGATTTTTTAAAATATGAATGAATATATAGTTCTTAGCTGTAGGGTTAACATTAGACTCACTTAATACTATGAGCCAAGGCTATTTGTTCCAAACTGTAAGTCAGAAGATAAGTAATTGGTGGTTAGAAACATGATCCCTAATTCTTAATCACTTTATCACTCACCTATTCTTTCTTACCTCCTAGTTACCTAAATGTGTGACTTCACAGACTAACCTGTCATCTTGTTCAAAAATTTGTCCTCGCCAGGCGCTTTTGGTAAAAGTGGTCTTCCAGCACTAGAAGACTAGCTGTTTTGTCGTGGATTAATTCATATAATTAAGTTAGGAATTGACTCTGCTAGAGCTTACTTTCCAAAAGAAGTACTTGTATATGCCAGGGCATTTCACTGATTAAATGTTTAACAGTTTTAAAAATTCTTATACGTCTCTTTCTTGTCTGATCTGTAGTTCACAGGATTTATAGAAATGTAGTGCTGTAGTTGCACACTAACATTCCTTTCCCTTACATACCTTGGTAGTTCTCCCTTTGCCCATGAATCTTCTTGTCTTGCTAGAGAATATAGTATAGATTCGGCAGAAGACCGAACAGTTTTGAAACTTTGTCAATTCATGAGTAGGTAGTCTTTTTAGAATTTCACTGTACTCTAGCAGTTGTATTATCATTTAGTTATCAAGAAAAATTAAGTTGCTTGTATATTTTGTATTAAAGTAGGAAAATGTTAAATAGCTATACAGTTGTCAAATGCAGTTATGTGACTTGTATACTTATTAGTTTGGTATTTTGAGAAACCTTGTTCTTGAGTAATGATGCTATGTAAATGAATACAGTGAACCCTCGTTTATTGCGGTTAATCGGTTCTAGACCCTACCGTGATAAAAGAAATTCCGCGAAGTAGGATTCCTTATTTGTAAATCAAATATTTTCATAGTTAGAGCATAGAGGACATGAAAAAACACCCTTTAGTCACCATTACACTCGTACTACCCAATTTATTAAACGAAAAAGGGAAAATACAGTAAAACATTTTGGACGTTACAATTATCATTTATTATTTATTATATTATTTATGGCATCAAGCGTGTACAATATGAGCCAATCAGTGGCAGTAATGACAGAGCATGCGCTGTTACGCAAAAACCGCGATAGAGCGAAGCCGCGGAAGTCGAAGCGCGAAGTGGCGAGGGTTCACTGTACTTTAGATATTGATCTGAAATTACAGTTTTGATTCGTAGACCTATCTTCCCAGTGTATCTTGATTAGCCAAAATATGAAATATTACAAAGGAGTAGTATGTATTTACACTGTTTTAGAATAGTTTATCCTTCAACACGAAGCATAGATGAATGAGCATTTCATTTAAGCAGAAGAAATCCAGTGATATCGCTGACTCTTCAAGAAGATAGATTCTCTTGATGTGCTCTATAACTAACTTGTTGAAAGACAAATTTACATTCAGTTTTAAATTGAAAATGTTTGAAATAAAAATTTAGAGTGCTTTCAAAATTGCATGATTATAATGAAAAAATGCATTGTCATTCAAAATATTTTATTGTCTTCAAGCTAATAAGCACAAGTGGGTACCACTCCACTTAGATGATATAAGACCAGATTTTCAAGAACGACCAGGATCCCGGAACAGCTCAAGATGTCAACCTGAAGCAAATAAAACAGCACACAACAATAGACGAAATGATTCAAGAAGTAAGTTACATTTTTAAGAGCAAACCATCTTTTTGTTTATTATTGTAACTTTAAAAATAAAGCCTATTGTGATTGTGGGTTAAAGTTTACAAAGCAAATGGGTTTTCCCTTCAACAATTCATACACACTTTGTTTTGTGACCTTGCCTGTAATCCCCACAGTTTTTGTTGTGGTTATTTTTTAAATTTATTTTTATTTTAGTTGAGAGTGTTCACAACAAAAAATTCCAACATTACATTGTTTGAGCTGCACACCCATTCTCACCCTCCTTTTCTGAATTGTTCCCTCAGCACTAACATAAAGTCACTTGTTAATTTCATTTGATGCTCAGATTGTTCCAGATTTGGCTACTGGGTGTTGCTTTTGAGTAGTTTCTGCATCTTTCCATATACTTAAGAAAAAGAAAAGAAAACTTTAATAATGAACTTGTTCATATATTAAAATGCATTCACAGTACTGTCTTTACTTTCATCCACTGCTTTCTGTCACCATAGGTTAGAATTTCACATATTGGAACTATACAACAGGTAGAGTTTATCTTTCCTGAGCATATTTTTCACACCAATCCATGTTGTTGCATGTATTAATAGTTTCTTTTATTGCCAGATAAGTATCCTGTTGAATATTCTCCATTTAAAAAAAAAAATTATTCTGTGCCCTCAAGCAGATTTCCATTTCAGAATGACCCTATAAGACAGTTGATCTTCTCAATAGGGTTTCTAAGGCGGTATTCTTTAAGAAAGCAGATTACCCCATCTGTCTCTTGAGGAACAGTTGGTAGATTTGAACCCCTGATGGTCCATTACCAGCTCCTGGTTGAATTAATTTTTGTGCCCCTTGTCCATTTCATCTATTTGTGGAAATTGGGCAGTTTGATATGCAGTGATGCTGGAAGTGTTGTGTCACTAGTGTTTCAAAAAACCAGAAGGCAGGATCACCCAGAATGGACAGGTTTCAGCAATGCTTCCAGACTACAAGAAGATCAAAGAGATGATTGACTTTTGGAAAATTAGCCACTGAAAGTCTTTTGCTCATTTAGTTATTTTAAAACAGTTTTTTGGGGGCACATGCAATTTAATAGTTTTGGTCTTAAAAATCAATAGTTGAGTCATATCAAAAAAGAATGTGCAATCTACCCACTGAAAATCTTATAGTAGCAGAGCATTGCATGATAATAGTGCCACAAGATGAGTCCCTCAGGCTAACGTCATGCAAAACAAGGATGGGGAAGAGCTGACTCCTTGAACTAGAATTGACTTTAATGATGTGGGTGGAACAGAGTTTTCAGGACCTTCATTTCCTGACGGGACATGACTCATTTCAAGAACATTTCAAGATCTATCCTGAAGAATGATCCGGCCAGTGATAGGATAATATCTGCACACCAACAAGGAAGACCTGCTACTATGATTATTCAGATTTATGTACCAACAACAACAAAAATAAGATTTTAAAAACTTCTGAAGCCTGCAGTTGATTAAAAATGCAACCAGGATGCATTGGTAGTTATTGGTGATTGGATTGTGAAAGTTGGAAACAAAGAAGGATCACTAGTTAGAAAATAATGGTGCTGGTATTAGAGTTTGCATGTACAGATTACATGATAGAACATTGCAATACCAGCAGCATAAATAGGCAATTATACACATGGGCATCATTGGGTGGAATACACAAGAATCAAACTGAGTATATGTAGGAATATCAGTATCAGTAAGAACAAGACTAGCATCAGGCTGGAGAGCAGGGGCTGATTGTGCAACAGACCATGTAAGTTGAAGCTGAAGAAAATTAAAACAGTCCATGAGAGCCAAAATAGGACATTATGAGTAGCTTTCATGTGAATATAGACTGTCTCATGAACAGATTTGAAGCATTTACAGGACCACAAAATTATTTAAGGTGGTTCTTTTAGCCAAAGTCCCTCCATGACTTTTTCGTGTATAGGTCTGGGTAAGAAGTTGGGGGAGATGTGGATAGGATTCACCTGTCTGAGCAATTGTGAACTTCATTGGAATGCTATCATGCTGGGTATGCCATTTAGTGGTAGTCATCCACTGGACATTGAGACCTGTGCAGTGAACCTCCTGGATCCAAAAGATAGCCCTGACTTCAGAGCAGGAACAGCTGAAAGTATGAAACAAGAGTGATGGAATTCCTAGCCCACAGAGCAAGTAAAACTATGTTTGGGGGCAACTTTATTGGGAAAACTGGGTTTGCTGACCCTCAGAAATGGAACTCTGAGAGCCTTTGGTTTGTATTTTGCTAGATTGAGGTTTCTCTGGGCACTTAATTCAGAGAGCTGGGTTCACTAACCCAGCTTTGATCTGAGACTTACAAAGGAGTGACTTGTCCTTGTTAGCCGCACTGAAAGAGCCTTGTAAGATGTCTTGATGAACAATTTATCCTGAACATTTTTCACTTGCATTGTAACCTGTTAGCTTCCTTCAAAAATCTGTTAATAATGATTAAATATTGTCTGTGAGTTCTGTGTAGCCACTATAAACCATTGCAATGATATAAAAGTAGAGAATGCTGTGTAAGTGACAACACAATTTTAAAAATCTTTTTATTAGGGGCTCATACAACTCTTATCACAATCCATACATAACATCAATTGTGTAAAGCACATTTGTACATTCATTGCCCTCATCATTCTCAAAACATTTGCTCTCCATTTAAGCCCCTGGCATCAGCTCCTCAATTTTCCCCCTCCCTCCCCACTGCCCCCTCCCTCATGAACCCATGATAACTTATAAATTATTATTTTGTAATATCTCGCCCTGTCTGTCATCTCCCTTCGCCCACTTTTCTGTTGTCCGTCCCCCAGGGAGGAAGTCACATGTAGTTCCTTGTAATCGGTTCCCCCTTTCCAACCCACCATCCCCCAGTATCGCCACTCACACCGCTGGTCCTGAAGGGATCATCCGCCCTGGATTCCCTGTGTTTCCAGTTCCTATCTGTACCAGCGTACACCCTCTGGTCTAGCCAGACTTGCAAGGTAGAATTGGGATCATGATGGTAGGTGGGGAGGAAGCATTTAGGAATTAGAGGAAAGTTGTATGCTTTGTCTTTGCTACACTGCACCCTGACTGGTTCGTCTCCTCCCCGTAACCCTTCTTCAAGGGGGTGTCCAGTTGCCTACAGATGGGCTTTGGGTCCCCAATCTGTACTTCCCCCCCATTCACACTGATTTGATTTTTTTGTTCTTTGATACCTGATCCCTTCGACACCTCGTGATCACACAGGCTGGTGTGCTTCTTCCTTGTGGGCTTTGTTGCTTCTGAACTAGATGGCCATTTGTTTACCTTCAAGCCTTTAAGACCCCAGACACTGTATCTTTTGATAGCCGGGCACAATCAGCTTTCTTTGCCACATTTGCTTATGCATCCATTTGTCTTCAGCGATCGTATCATGGAGGTGAGCACACAGTGATATGATTTTTTGTTCTTTGATGCCTGATACGTGATCCCTTTGGCACCTTGTTAGCATACAGGCTGGTGTGCTTCTTCCATGTGGGTTTTGTTGCTACTGAGCTAGATGGCCGCCTGTTTACCTTCAAGCCTTTAAGACCCCAGATGCTATATCTTTTGATAGCCGGGCACTATCAGCTTTCTTTGGCACATTTGCTTATTCACCCGCTTTGTCTTCAGCGGTTGTGCCGGGAAGGTGAGCATCGTAGAATGGCTGTTTAATAGAAGAAAGTATTCTGGCATTGAGGGGGGGAGTACTTGAGTGGAGGCCCAATGTCCTTCTGCTACCTTAATACTAAACCTATAAATATAGGCACACAGATCTATTTCCCTGTCCTCATATATAAATATATTTTCATATGTACATGTCTTATTTAGACCTCTATAAATGCCCTTCAGAACACAATGTTTTAACATTAGTGGCAAAAGACCTGAGAGTTGTGGGTTGGCAGCAAGACCATGATACATGTAAGAACCAAAGATCATTAAAAAGAAAAATGTAGATGAGAAACTGAAATTTGCTCTTGATGAAAGAGTAGCTAAAGCAAATGGAAGAAACGATGAAGTGAAAGCTGAACAGAAGATCCCAGAGGGCATCTTGAAAAGTCAAAGCATTATAATGAATGTGCAAAGATAAGGAGTTAGAAACCGAAAAGGGAAGAACACACCAAGCAACTCTCAAGTTGAAAGGACTGAAGACAAAATTTAAGCTCAAGTTGCAATATTTAAAGATTTCATGGGATATATATATATATATATATATATGTATGTATATTACAGAATATTGAATGATGCAGGAAGCATTAAAAAAAAGATGGAAGGAGGAGTACACAGTGTCATAAAATGAAGTGTTTGTTCAAGAGGTAGCGTCATAAAGAACTGATGATATTAATGAAGTCCAAATTGCACCGAAGTGTTGAGTGAAAAGGAAGGGTTCAGGAATTTTCAAAGTAACAGTTGAAATGTTTCAACAAACTGATATATATACTGGGGGAGGTGTTCAGTACTTTATGCCGAGAAATTTAGAAGAGAACCATTGGCCAACAACTGGAAGAGGTCCATAGTTGTGGCCATGCAAAAGAAGGGTTATCCAACAAAGTACTGAAATTGTCAAATTATTATTATTACATGAAAGAAAATTTTGCTGAAGATGTTTCAAAATCATTTGCAACAAGTATATCAATACGGTGCTGCCAGATATTCAAGTTGGATTCAAAAGAGAATGTGGAATAAAGGATATTATTGCTGATGTGTCAGTTACGTCTCTGAAAGAAGAGAGTAGCAAAAAAATGGTAACGTGTTTCATTGACTATGCAAAGGGATTTGACTGGATCATAACAAGTTCTGACTGACGTTGAGAAGAATGGGAATTCCAGAACAACACTTCAGTGTGCTTTCCTGAAATATACATGGACTAAGAGGCTTGTGTTATGCATTAGTAAGAAATTGGAGTCCTTGGTTTTTATACTATGTTACAGGTATTGTCTCCTAGTTTGAGTTATCTTAAAAAAAATTACACACACACATAAATCATTCCATTGGGGGCTCTTACAGCTTTTATAACAATCCATACATCAGTTGTATATAGCACATTTGTCCATATGTTGCCATCATTGTTTTCAAAACATTTTCTTTCTACTTGAGACCTTAGTCTCAGCTCCTTTTTTCCTTCCCCTGCCCCTTCATGACCCCTTGATAAATTTATAAGTTAATTTCATATTTTACACCATCTGCCTTCTCCCTGCACCCACATTTCTGTTGTTTGTCCTCCGTGGGGGTTGTATGTTGATCATTGCAATTGGTTCCTCCCTTTTCCCTCTTGTCCCCCACCTTCCCCCTACCCACATGGTATCTCTATGCCCATTATTATTCCTGGGAAGTTTTTTCTGCCCTGGATTCTGTGTGTTGAGGGCTCTTAACTGTACCAGTGTATGTGCTCTGGTCAGCTGGATTTGTAAGGTAGAACTGGGGTCATGATGGGGGTGAGGTGGGGAGGGAACTAAAGAACTAGAGCAATGTTGTGTGCTTAGTTGGTGCTGTAATGCACCCTTGCTAGCTGATCCTTCTGTGAAGGGATGTCCACTTGTCTACAGATGGGTTTTAGGTCTCCAGCTCCCCTTTTCCTCATCGATATGATTGCTTTGGGTTTCCTGATACATGATGCCGGCAACACCTAGTGATCACACAGGATGGTTTGTTCTTCCATGTGGACTTGGTTGCTTCCCTGCTAGATGGCTGCTTGTTTAATTCTAAGACCTCACCTACTATGTATTATAATAGCCGGGCACCATCATCTTTCTTCACCACATTTGCTTATGCACTCATTTTGTCTTCAGTGGAAGGTGGATCTTATGTGGAAGGTGAACATCACAGGATGCCAGGTTATTGGAATAAAGGGTTCTTGTGTTGAGGGAGGACTTGAGTAGGATGCTTAGCATATAAATAATTGTATGTAGACCTATATCCTTATCTATCTGTCTATCTATCTGTCTGTCTGTCTGCCTATCTACACATGCCTATATTTATACCTCTATATAGTCTTTTGCCCCTGAGTTCTTTCCTCTGCTTCCTTTTACTTTCCTTCTGTCCCACTATCATGTTCGATGTTCATTTGGATCTCAGTAATTCCTCTCAGTGACCTTGCACTTGATCAACCCCAACCAGGTGTGCTACACCCACCTTGTTCCCTTGTCCCTTTGGTTTGTTGGCTCCCCATTCCCTTTGCCCCACCTTCCTCTTTTTCCTCCCCCCCTCCCCCATGGGTTCCATTGTTTTCTCCTCAGTATTATCTTGCCTGGCATACCAGGTTGAGGTCTGGTCCCTTTCCTGTGGACACATAAGATGTGCTTCTTGTGTTTATCCCTGCTATTTAGAGATGCGTAGCACTTCATTGTATTTATTTACCCGAGTTTTTTAATTCATTTTTCTGTTGATGGAAATTTAGGTTGTTTCCAACTCTTTTCGATTGTGAGCTGTACCATTGGAGCGCTGATGTCTGGCCCTGGTCTGTTTCCTACCTCTTCTGGGTATAATATGCCCAAGAGGGGGATTGTTGGGTTGTATGGTAGCTCGATTTGTTTTGGGTTTTGCCAAATGAATTACCGTAATGGCTGCATATACCTATAGGTCCACCATCAGTGGATGAGAGTTCCTATCACACCACATCCCCTTCAACACTTACTGCTTTTTGATTTTTTCAGTTGGACTATCTTTGAGGATGTTAAGTGGTATCTCATAGTTCTTGTTAGGATATCTCTGTCAAGAATCTGTGTCCTCTCTTTTATGCCACAGCTCTTTTGACCAATTCCCATGTCTTTTAAGATTATATGTATATCTGAAGAATGTCTTTCTGTTAACTCGTTTCAAATTGAAAAGTAGGTGGTTACCATATGTTCATAAGGCTAACCATGTCATGTATAATTACAAATTAGAATATATAAAATATTTTTCATTTTAAAAAGGTTGGAGGCGAGATAGAGAAAAGAGAGATGATGAAGATGAAGTTTCCAGTGTGAGAAGTGAGGGGGGTAATATCCGAGGTACCGCTAGAGGAAGAGGACGAGGAAGAGGACGTGGAAGAGGACGAGGCAGAGGAAATCCTCGCTGTATGTCATGGTTTTTGGTTTTGTTAGACAGATTATTTTGACTGATTTTTTTGTTTGATGCTAAAGATGGTTTTGCATTTGTTACCCCTTAAAGTATGTCACTAAACATTTTACTTTAACTGTAGTAACTGTTTATTATTCCTTATTTATTGATTCATCTGTGACCACTTTTTCTTTTTCCACATCAAGTGAACTTTGATTATTCATATGGTTATCGAGAACATGGTGAAAGGACAGAGCAACCATTTCAAACAGAACTTAACACCAGTATGATGTATTACTATGATGATGGCACAGGCGTGCAGGTATATCCTGTGGAAGAAGCATTGCTTAAAGAGTATATTAAACGCCAAATGTAAGTTGATAACAGATATAAGCAGATGAGATTCTGGAAAGTTTTGCAATATCAATCTTTGTCATTGGTAGGAAAGCCATATTATACAATTTCTAAGCTATTTAATAGTAAACTTTAAGAGCATGCTTATGGTATTTTTTACTGTCCTGTTTTTTATTTTGTTTTTTGTAGTATTTTTCCCCTAGGAAATATCCTAGTGATAGTATTTATGTAAGTTCTTGAAGGACAATACTCTGCTTGAAGGGCATTTGTTAAAATGTCAGGACAATGCTAAAGATGTTGTCCCAGTCTATTATATAGTAAAAGTCTTCAATATATATGAGGGGGCTTCCAAAGTTCATTTAGAAATTCCATTATTTAATAACTTGTGAATTAGATGAAGGCTTACAGAGAATATAATCAGTTTTGCATTAAACAGCTCAGGCATTTTGTTTTAACTCATGGATTTCAATCCCCTCAAGGTAACATCGCTTAACCTATTTCCTGCTTGTTCTGTTTCCGTTTCCCCCTTTTTACAAACCCTCTGGTTTTGGGTAATGGCTGCCCTTATGGGATGATTTCAGTTCCGGATCTGAAGGGGTCCTACTAGTCCAACCAGCAAAGCTGATTTCTTCAGATTTTGAGTTCTGTTCCATATTGTCTCTCACTTCAGGTGTCTATAGATGCACAGTTAGTGCACCTGATGTTCATACATGAGGTATGGGGGTGGTTGAGGGTGTGGTTTGGCCATGCTTCTGTTCACCACAAGGAAGGTATGGAAAACAGTGAAGGACACCCCCACCCCCACCCCACCTCATATTCATGTATCAATGTGCTTCCTGGATAGAATGTTACTTCCAAGATGGTCTGCTTCTTAGGCTAGCTGATAATTACCCCCTTCATCTCCTCTCCCACTACTTTTGTTCAGCTTCTTCTAGTTGATATTCAGTCTACTGTCTTTTTCTTGGAGTTTGGAGTTCTGGGATTATCATCAGTTTCTTTCATTAGGTCTCTCATATCTTTGTTGTAGAGGGTCTGTAGCATATGCTCCTACTTTGCCACTTTGTTGGAAGTGTCTCACTCCCATTATCTTTTCATTCTATTTTATGCATATTTTGAACATCCCTTGTTTGTTTGCACATGTTTCTATTAAGATTTGCAAAGGAACCCTGGTAGCATAGTGAGGTACGTTACTGAGCTCCTGACTACAAGTTTTAGCAACTGGAACCTACTAGCTGCCTTCTTAAAAGATTTACATCCTTGGGGCCACTGTGTTTGGACAGGTACTTACTTTTTGCACGCTGAGACCAGCGCCGAGGGACCCATGTGAAGGCCTTGGGCACACTTTATGAGTACAATGTGGTGGGCTGTTGTCTGCCCTCCCCCAAGTGCTGGGTACTGCCTTTCTACCATATGCATATCTTCTCCCCAGCCAGGTTGTTCCCAAGTCTCGCTTTTAGGACTGTCACAGCTGAAGAAGCTGAAGTCTTTTGGGGGAGATTATGAACTGCGGGCAGGGGAAGAACTTTGGCATCTGGCTGTGCTACAACTGTTGCAGGACCTACAACATGTACCTCAAGTGCTAGGACCGGAACACCATGGTGCCATCACTCAGTGTCATTGAGACATGGGCGCCTTCGCAGCGCTTGCGCAGCGCCTGCGCCCACTCCTTGCATGAAGGTGGAAGAGATCGCTGCCATCCCACCACTCCAAGATCAAGTTCCCGCTGCTGCACTGGATCAATTGCACCAGCAGAAGCCAGGCTTCACCACCACCTGGCCAACACCACTTTCTAGGCACAACCCTTCCCCCATCCCAGGCATATACAATAAATGTCCTGTGGAACGACAAAGAAATAAGATTTGCAACCTTGGGAACCCACCAGGGCAATTCTATTCCACTTTGCCTATATGGTCCATGATGAGTCAGAATTGACTCTGTGACAATGAGGGTTTTTTAATTTTTTAAAGATAAAACATAAATAACAAAAATACCGATAGACATGTTTTCACTTCTTTCATTTTGTTTTTAGAAGTTGATTTTTGAAGTTTACGGCTTTCAAAAAATCTTAATTTTTTAAAAGATCATTTTATTGTGGGATCTTATTGCTCTTATAATAATCCAAACATCAGTTGTATCAAGCATATTTGTACATATGTTGACATCATTATTTTATAAACATTCGCTTTCCATTTGAGCCCTTGGTGTCAGCTCCTCTTTTTTCCCTCCTTACTCCCTTCCCACCCTTATGATGCCTTGATAAATTATTGCTATTAAATTATATTATTATTTTCATATCTTATACCGACTGCGGTCTCCCCTTATGGTTCATTCCCCAGTTTGTCCCCCTGGGTGGGGGTGTGTGTGTGGTTCTGTGTTGATCATTTTGATTGGCTCCCCCATCCTCCCCTCTTCTCCCCACCTTCCCCCTACTCTCCTGGTATTGCTACTCCCATTCTTGTACCTGAATTCCATGTTTCATGAGCTCTTATCTGTACCTGTGCACACGCTCCAGTCTAGTCCATATTAAAAGGCAGTACTGGTGTCATGATAGTGGGGAGTGAGGAAGCCTCAAGGAACCAGAAGATTACTGGGTGTTTATCTGTGCTATGTTGTGCCCTAGTTGGCTCATCCCTTCCTTGTGACCCTTCTGTGAGGGGATTTTCCCATTGTCTACAGATGGGTTTTGGGTCTCTGCTCTAAACCCCCCCCCCCCATGTTCTCAACAAACTGTTTTTTTGTTTGTGGTCTTCTGGTGCCTGTTACCCAGTACCGATGAAACTTATTCCATGTGGCTTCTCTGCTAGATGGCCACTTGTTTAACTTTAAGCCTTTCAGACCCAAGACATTATGTATTTTAATTGCCAGGCACCATTTGCTTTCTTTACTACATTTCCTTATGTACCCATTTTGTCTTCAGCAATTGTGCTGGGAGGGTGAGCATCACAGAATGCCAGTTTGCTAGAACAAAGTGTTCTTGTGTTGAGGGAGGACTTGAGCTGAGGCCCAAAGCCACAATGTATTGCTATATAAATATATGTACCTTTGCCAACACATCTGTTTTTATGAATTAATATATTTACATGAGTGCATACCTGTTTGTACCTCTATCCTTAGCTTTACTTTTTAATCTTTCCTCTGTTTTCTTTTACCTTCCTTCTTTCCCACCATCATGGTTGCTCTTCTTCTGCCTCTTAGAAATTCCTCTCAGCTAGATAGCTGTTGCTCCAACACCCCCAGGATCTCTGTGTCCTCCTCATTGTTGCTTTTAATTCCCTAGTTGTTCCCTTGTCTAGGGCATTGTTTGCTCACTGCTCTCTTCCCCTGCCTCTCCTTGCTTAAGTCTCTGGATCCTCTGGTCCTGTTGCTTTCTCCTTGGGCTCGCTTCCAGTGCCTATATAGGTAGACAAACCAACTATAATTTAGACAATACAAAAAGAAAACAAAAAACTGAATAAAAAGAGTCGCTGACCTTTATGACTGTCTCCCCACTAGTCCTGGAAGAATTCCAGAAACTGCCCCTCCTAGCCTGTCGTCTGTTTTGGGGGCTCCTCAGGGGCTTTGTAGCTTTGCTTTGCTCTCATTGCTGAACTGGTCTGTTCCCTTCTTGGTTTGCTCCACTGTGTGGGGTTCAGACTGGATTATCCTTTGTCATTGTATGCTTCAGTGAGGGGATATCATGTCTCTGCTGTTGTGAGCCCAGCATTCCTCTCTGTGGCTCAGTAGCTCCGTGCAGGGACGTTGTCCTGCAGGCTTGCTGTGCTGATAGGAGGTTTTAAAACCCTTTTTTAAAAAAAATCATTGTATTAGGGGCTCATACAACTCTATCACAATCCATACACACATCAATTGTGTAAAGCGCATTTGTACATTCATTGCCCTCATCATTCTCAAAACATTTTCTCTCCACTTAAACCCCCGGCATTAGGTCCTCATTCCCCCCCACCCCCCCATGAGCCCTCAATAGTTTATAAATCGTTATTTTGTCATATCTTGCCCTGTCCTACATCTCCCTTCACCCATTTTTCTGTTGTCCGTCCCCCAGGGAGGAGGTCACATGTAGTTCCTTGTAATCTGTTCCTTCTTTCCAACCCATTCTCCCTCTACCCTCCCTGTTTTGCCACTCACACCACTGGTGCTTAGGGCTCATCCGCCCTGGATTCCCTGTATTTTCATTTCCTATCTGTACCAGTGTACATCCTCTGTCTAGCCAGACTTGCAAGGTCGAATTTGAGTCATGGTAGTGGGAGCGGGGAGGAAACATTTAGGAACTAGAGGAAAGTAGTATCTTTCATCATTGTTATATCACACCCTGATTGGCTCATCTCCTCCCCGAGACCACTCTACAAGGGGATCTCCAGTGGCCTACTGATGGGTTTTGGGTCTCCACTCTGCACTACCCCCCTCATTCACGGTGGTAAGATTTTTTGTTCTGATGATGCCTTATACCTGATCCCTTCGACACCACGTGGTTGCATAGGCTGGTGTGTTTCTTCCATGTGGGCTTTGTTGCTTCTGAGCTTGATGGCCGCTTTATTACCTTCAAGCCTTTAAGCCCCCAGATGCTATACTTTTTGATAGCTGGTCACCATCAGCGTTCTTCGCCACATTTGCTTATGTACCCATTTGTCTTCAGTGATCCGTTCGACACCTCGTTTAAAAACCTTTTAAAAAAAATCATTGGGGGCTCGTTTGTTGACCTTTATGAGTATTTTCTGGTCGAATATGATGGGGTGCCGTGCCCTGACCGCAGTCTGTTTTTGGCTTTCCCCGGGGATGTCATTGCTTTCCTCTCCTTGCTGCTTTGCTGCACACCCTTAACGTTTCACCCTGGTGTGGTGAGGTCAGATCGGGCACAATTCCCCCACTGTGCCTCCAGTGTTGTCCCTTGAAGGGATAATGGGTCAGTGTAGTGAGTGAGGGACCTTGTATCTTGTGCTGAGGCTGGCCCTAAGGCCCTCTCTGCATTGACTGCTCTCAGCAGGAATATCATCCAATTGGTCTGTTAATCCTTTTTTTTTTTTTTTAAAGACACATTAAAGAATTGGGGGAACTACTTAATCTTTTAGATTTCTTTCTCTAGTTCTCATGGTAGTTGCTTTCTGGGTACTGAAGTAGAAGTCAGAGTATTAGTTACTTCGGCTATCTTTTTAGAAATAAATTTTACATTTTTCTATTGATTAGGATGCTTTGCATATTTATATAGTGGTGAGAAATGCTCACAAACTGATTTGCCTCATGGCTGAAATTTGAGTTTTCCTTTTTATATCTTTTCAAGGTGAAGGAAAAAATAATTAGGCATGGTTGAAATGGCATCAACCAGAAAGTAGTTTCTTCATCAGCATCAGCTGGGTCCTTCACTGGGATGACTTCATGGTGGATTTAATTGGCTTACAGTATGAAGGAACTTGTTCATTTTGTTCTTTTGTTACAACTAATGCAACCACCGAAGGAAGGGGTCTTTTTCTGGGTAGAAAGTGCCTGGCATATGGCTAACAACTTCAAACTACTGTTCTTGCCTTTTCTTTTTTTGGTAGCTATTGCTGCCAGGACCCTTCTGAGACCTGATAGTGGACATGCAACTCTGTTAGAATAATCAACTTCCAATATGCTTAGACAGGTGAGGGAGGAGCAGAGCTTCTTCAGTATTGACTAAATTTCTGATGATGCAGTGTAGAATTCAGAGCTGCTAAGGTAGGACATGATTGTGTTCTAGAGTACATGAGCAAAAATGTCAGACACAGAATTGGTTATGACTTTTTTTGTTACTGTCTTAGGGTTTTTGGTAAATGTTAGTAGAATAACAGGTTTAGGTTGTTTGCTTTCATTAGTGGAGATCTGCTTTTCAGGAGTCATGCTTTTGACTTGATAGTATTGAGGGTTTTCAAATATATATAAACCCATTGAAATTCTTGATTATTTCTAGCTGGGGAATCAGTTTTAGCACTTGGATGTAAGAATATGTTTATATTTTATTACAAGTTATTAAAATACCTGTTACAGTACAGTAACAGTGATTTATGAATTTATCTAGATACATACATACAATACGTATTGGTTGTACATACAATAAGTATTATATTAAAAGGACAATTTATTTTCACTGTTTTCATCCAAGAACAGTTTTAACTTGTGACTCAGTCAAATGTTTAGTATGTGGAAATTAAGAAATTAAATCCAACATTTGATTATGTGTCTAGAGCCCAAGAGGTGCAAATAAATGATTATACAATGAGTTGCTAACAAAGAGGCTTGTGCCATTTTAAACTTACCTGTAGGTGCCAAAGGAGAATGGGCTGGTGAATTGCTTTTGGAAAGTCACAGTCAAGAGAACCCTATGGCATACAGTTCTTCCCTGATACACATGGAGGGTCGCATGGGTCAGAGTCGACTTGACAGCAACTAGTTGGTTGGTTATTGTGTGTCCTACTGCATGCCAGACACTAAGATGGATTTTTAAAGTTCATTGTCTTTGTGTCCCCACCTTGGGGCCCAGAAGAATGGTCTTTAGTTTTGGCATCCAGGAGCCCACAAAATACGTTTTCATATATATATACATACATATATATATATATATATTTTTTTTCTCAGTGTATTAGGGACAGTAAATGATTTACTAACTTTACTAAAATGTCAGCACTGTGTTGCTGGTGTTAAGCATGGTGGTTAAAATTATCTTGAAAAAGAACACTTAATGTAAAGATAGTTAAACATCAAATTACAAAGAAACAAATAGAATATTTTAAGGTTTATGGGCATACTCACAACCCTCTGCAGTGGAAGTTGCCTCTCTAAACCAATTTTGAATTGCTATATTTCTTCAGTTAAACTTGACAGACATCTTTTACACCCACACATAGCAACTGGTGTACTTATAACTTGTTCATTTTTAAAAACTTTTGTTTTCTATGATATTGAAACAGTGTAATAGTATTAAACTCTAGGCTTTGGTAAACGTCATCCATTTCTATCTTTTTTCATTTCTACTTTCTTCTTAATTGATAATGACCTTTAATTGAATTTTCTATTTTTTGTTATTTTGGAGCTGTAATTTAAGCAGATGTTTTCTCAGGTTATTAAATATTCATGTTTCTTTGTTTATATCTTAGAATATAGTTAATCACATAATTTTCCCATTTGTGTTTTCTTTTTTGGGAAAGGTGGATACTTTTTTAGACTAAACTAAACTTTTGCTGTGCTATTTTTCTCTGTGTATCTCATGCTGTTGATAATGAGAGCTTATACTTAGTTCTTTTGTATTCTGTTCACTTTGAATGTTTAATGTTTTACCCTTCAAGGAAAAGTGAGGAGAATTTGAGTCATTCAGATAGAAATTTGTGTATGCCCACACACATGCTCATGATCATGAAGTATTTGCAACACATTGTGTTGATTACTAGGGTTGAGAAATATAAAACAATGTTGACACTCGATCATTATTGTCTGTTGTATTCTCAGTGATGAGAAAAACTTGGATGTCAATTTGTTGGCATGTGTTGAGATTTGTTTAGTGCCTAATGAAGCAAATAGAACTAAGTTTGTACAGTAATTTCTTTAATGGCTTTTTTTTTTTTGGGGGGGGGTTTAATTTTATTTTTTTTTAACATTTTATTAGGGGCTCATACAACTGTTATCCCAATCCATACACACATCAATTGTGTAAAGCACATTTGTACATCGTTTAAGATAATAATTATTTAACTATTTTTAAGTAAAATTAGGTGACTAATTATACTTTAAGATCAAGGCTAATCTAAATTAAGGTTATGGTCAGTGTTTTGGGGAGATAATTAGTATACTTTTCTTTTTGTGCTTGTATAAAAGTAAAGTTATTTTAAAAGGTGTTTGTTATATTTGCTCTTGTATGTACTGTCTATATATTTCTTGATATCTATATAATGTTATTAACCAAATCAAGGCATTTTAATACCAGTTGGTGGTATAAGCCACCAGTAGTTTTCTTTCTAAGTGAATAAATGGATAAAACTTATTTCTTCTTGCTTCTCTTTAGTGAGTATTACTTCAGTATAGAAAATTTGGAGCGAGACTTCTTCCTTCGAAGAAAGATGGATGAAGAAGGCTTCTTACCCATTTCCTTGATTGCTGGTTTCCACCGAGTTCAGGCTCTCACTACAAACCTTAATCTCATTTTAGAGGTAATTATACATTTAATAAGAAACTAGTTGCCTAAGGCTCAGACTGTGTCATATGGGCTTTTATCCATTTGGTCAAACCCAAATAAATACTTGACCTTGGAACACACCTCAGAGAATTGCCAATGAGGTTGCCATTTATTTTTCATCTAACCCTTCAATCCAAATCTTCTTGGTGGTGGTTCTTTGGTTTGGGTCCTTTAGTTTCTTCAGGTTCCTGGGGAAGAGCATATTTCTCATTCGTGAAACTTGTTTTTTCAAGTGCTAAAAGAAGACTAACTTAAAGCTGTGGTCTTTCTCTTTTTTTTTTTTTTTGGTCTTTCTCTTTTTGGTAAATGTATTCTTCCAAAATTTTTGCTTTTCCTGTTTTTCACTATTTGACTAACAAGCAAATAATCACAAAAGCAAGGGAAGAAACTTTTCTTACATAAGAAGGGAGAAGGTGATAATGAAAATTCTGAAGAAATGAGTTATTTTATAAAAGGGAACTTTGAAATTAATACCAGAATAAACTTTAGTGTCCAATTTGGTATCACTTATACTTACCCTTGTCCCCTTTGTGTGTGGTGGGGTGGTGGGGGTTGGGAGGGTCAGGGAGGAGGCTTAGTTAGAAAAATGAAGATAATGTGAAGATAGGGACAAGTAAGTCGTTAAACGAGAAGCTATGTTGCTAAACTAAATGTTATGAACAATATTATTACAGAACTGTTTATTTAGATTTTTGTATTAGACGCTAATACTTATACCCTTGTTGGCCAATTCTCCTCACTTCTCATCTCAGCATCTTGACAACTTCTAATTTCATTTCAGCCCTTAAAATTTGGCTTCTTACAGAATATCTTAAATAAAAGATTCTTTTATGTTGTTTTATGTATTGTGGTCTAATTCCATTATGTGATGTACCCACAATTTATCCATTTGATGATGGACATTTAGATTGTGTCCAGCTTTACTTTGAGATTGAGTAAACTTACTAAGGTATTTTTGTGGGCTTAAGTTGTTTCTGCTGGATAACGAGCTAGGATTATGATAATAGGATCCTATATGGTAACCATGTTTAATTTTATAAGAAACTGCTAGCTTGTCCAAGGAGCTCTGGGGCATTGTTGGGTAAGCATTGGATTGCTACTGCAAGGTTGTCAGTTCAAACCCACCCACTGTTGCAAGGAAGAAAGAAGAGGATATATCTCTCCTGTGAAGATTTACAGTCTCAGAAACCTTACCATAGGGTTGTTGATGAGTTATACAAGCATCACAATCAATTTTAGAACATTTCTTTTTAAAAAAAATCACTTTATTAGGGGCTCATACAACTCTTTTCACAATCCATACATACATCATTTGTGTCCAGCATATTCATACATATGTTGCCATCATCATTCTCAAAACACCTGCTTTCTACTTGAGCCCTTGGTATCAGCTCCTCATTTTTCCCCTCCCTCCCTGCTCCCCTCTCCCCTCTGATAATTTGTAATTTATTATTATTTTATCATATCTTACACCATCCAACGTCTCTCTCCCTCACTCAGTTCTCTGCTGTCTGTCCACCAGGGAAGAGGTTACATGTAGACCTTGTCATCTGTTTCCCCTTTCTCCCTCACCCTCCTGATTTTGCCACTCTCACCACTGGTCCTGGGGGGTTCATCTGTCCTGGATTCCCTGTATTTCCAGTTCCTATCTGTGCCAGTATATATCCTTTGGTCCAGCCGGACATGTAAGGTAGAATTGGAATCATGATAGTTGGGGGGGGAGATGCATTTAAGAGCTAGACTGCACTCTGACTGGCTCGTCACCTCCCTTCAGCCCTTCTGCAAGGGGATGTCCAATTTCCCCCAGATGGGCCCTGGGTTCCCACTCTTCACTCCCTCTCATTCACAATGATGATTTTTTTTTTTTTTTTGGTCTTTGATGCCTGATACTTGATCCCTTTGATGCCTTGTCATCTCACAGGCTGTTGTGCATTTTCCATGTGGGCTTTGTTGTTTCTCAGTTAGATGGCGCCTTGTTTATCTTCCAGCCTATGGGACCCCAGATTCTATATATTTTGATAACTGGGCACCATCAGCTTTCTTCACCGCATTTTCCTATGCACCTGCTTTGTCATCAGTGTTTGTGTCGGGGTAGGCTGGTGTGTTTCTTCCGAGTGGGCTTTGTTGTTTCTGAGCTAGATGGCTGCCTGAATGTCTTTAAGCCTTTAAGACCCCAGATGCTATATCATTTGATAGCTGGGCACCACCAGCTTTCTTCACAACTTCTGCTTATGCACCCACTTTGTCCTCAGCAATCGTGCCAGGCAGGTGAGCATCTCAGACTGCCGAATTGTTCGAACAAAGTGTAGAACATTTCTTTCTGTTGTCATTGTTATTAGTTCCCCATTTACCCCAACCCCTCCTGCCATATTCTTAATGTAATTTTTATAGATAACAAATATTTTCTGTGTTTTATAACTTGAAGAAAATTTGGTTCCTTGAATTTTGTCCTTTGAGGAAAACTATGATTATGAGTTTACTTATTTATTTTTAAAAAATCATTTTATTGGGCGTGTGTACAATTCTTATCAATCCATACATACATCCATTGTCAAACACATCTGTACATTTGTTGCCATCATCATAGAATGAGTTTATTAGCTGCTATCATTGATCTCTTTCAAATATCTAGTTCAACTGCCATTTTTTATGAAGTCACTTTCTTTTTTTTTTTTTATATATTTTTTTTTTATTTACTCATTAGCTTTTATTGTCATTATGATCAATATTACATTTTTTTTTTTATAATCAATTTATTGGGGCTCATACAATTCGTCACAATACATAGATCAATTGTGTAAAGCACATCTATACATTTGTTGCCCTCATCATTCCCAAAATTTTCTTGCCTCTTGGGTTCCCGGAATCCGCTCA